GTCCTGACCTAACTATGGTCAGCATTTACAGGGGACCATCAATCCAATAGAGTATTTGCCTCAGTGTGTGTCATCCAGCCCCATTTTAAGATAGGTGGGGTCTACTGCCTGGAAAAGAATATTTTTTTTTTTTTGTCTTTTGTCTTTTTCCGTGTCCGGCAACGGATCGCAACCCTCAGTGTTGCCCCCGCGCCTCGCTCAGCCAGTGAGCGGGAACCGGTCCGTATGTGGGATCCGAACCCTCGGGCGGGAGTGCCGCCGCGCTTCCCAAGCGGCGCACTATCCAGTGCGCCACCGGGCCGGCCCAGAAAAGAATATTCTAAGTACTCCCAAGAATGGTCTCCAAATATACATTCTAAAACCAACAAGCTACTCTCTGTTTGACTTAGTCTGGAAAAAAGGCTAAGCGGAGTTAAGAGTTTGGTGAAAAGGGACAAAAAGAGGTGATAAGAGTCCACAGACTGGAGAGATGGCACAAGAGTACAAACGATTGGATAGATATCATCTTTGAACTATTTATAACACTGTACATATGTAGGTAAAAATATGGACATTTCACACATAGAAACATGTTTGCTACTGCCAACTGCATCTCTAATTAAACAAAAACAACATTCAGGTATAGTTTATCCATGTGAATATTTAACTCTCATAGTCGTACATGATGCCAAGATTAAAGATGTTTGTTCTGCACATTAAAATGCTTGGCTCAACACTGATTACACGTGCCTGATTTCTCCAGAGAAGCTGTGAAGAAAAAGCATATAATTTGCTATTACAACACCACGCTCTTTTCATATAGCATAAAATAGAAATTATGTTGATTTTTATCATGTTCCCTTTCGACTTCTCTGCTTTTTTATATTGGGAATTTATTTTTAAAAATTGAGACCACACTCTTAAAAAGACAACAAAGAAGGCCTTGCTGCCTAAAAAAGATGCAATGTTCCCTTTCGACTTCTCTGCTTTTTTATATTGGGAATTTATTTTTAAAAATTGAGACCATACTCTTAAAAAGACAACAAAGAAGGCCTTGCTGCCTAAAAAAGATGCGAGGATTAAGCTATTCAGAATTGGAAAGCCCTTAATTCTTATAACCACCCTCCCTATCAGGTAGAAAATCTTACTACCTATTTCAGACAGAAGGAAACTCAGACTGAGAGAGATGAAGTAAATTTCCCAAAGCCACATGGCTAGAAAGTTAGGTCAACTGTACTCAGCCTTGGAAGTCCAAACACTAAACTATCCACTCCCCTTGTTCCTGCAATCATGTTTCTCTAACCACTCACAATCCACTTCCCCCAGCTCTATGCAATGAACACAACAACAGCTAAAGATAACACTGTGAAAAATAGGTCCCAATTACATGTGTAATCTGCAAAGTCCATCATGAAAATTTCACAGAGGCCATGTAAGGCAAAAGTACTAAGAAATGTCTACTTTCCTACTATCCTAAAAGGTAAAATACATATTTATTGTATATTTGAGGACACTATGACATTTGATCCAAACAAATGATGCTTATCATTAAGATGCTTTCCACCTAACCTCTGATGACGCAAATGTTCTGTTTTGCACTCACAATTAAGGGAGCACATGATAATATAAAACTAAATGGTAGATCTGGCAAGACCATTTCCATGAGTCAGGATGGGCTCACTGGAAGTAAGCTACTTAAAATGAAATCACACAATGTTCCAGACATGGGGAGGGCTCCAGCCTGAACTTTAATAGATCAGAATTCTCCAACTGGGGGCTCGTTGGTTGCACCTGGCCATAGATACTATATGTGTGTGTGGAGGGGGGCAAATACAAGTTTTTGATTACTAAGCTACCTCTGAATTAAAGGAAATAGGCAATGATCATTGCAAAAAGAAACAGCCCGACATGTGCATCTCTAATAAAAACCCATGTCAGTAGCTATAAAATTGTCTTGCCAGAAAAATAGAACCTGTATCTGATTAAGCCTCTTTACCACTTTATTGGAAACACAGAGGACAGAAGAACATATTAAGCAACACAACAGGGATGCAATCAGCCAAATTCACATTAGGAAAAACTTTACAGGACCATAAAAAAAAAAAAAAAAATTCCAACAAGGTGCAAGGGGGAGGAACAAGATGGATGGAAACCTGTGCATTAAAGGAAATTTAAGACATATCAACCAAATAAACAGCATATTCAAACCATATTTGAATTCCCATTCTTTTTAAAGAAACAAAACCTTCATTTTCAGGATAACTGAGGAAATGTGAACAGTCTCTGGATTTTGAAGACACTAAGGAATTATTATTTTTGTTTGTTTTGAATGGGGGTGTGATGATGGTGATGTGGTTTATAAATCTAGAGCTGTCATAAAAATAAAAAAAGAACTTCTGGCTTCTTTTAAAAACTCAGAAGTTCTAGTGACACTCTTTCCTGCACTGTGGCATGAGGGAGAAAACCAAGGGCAGCTCCCCCTTCGGACAGGGTAGATGCCACAGAGCTCACCAGAGATCTCACCACTCTCTGTTGTCTCCTCAGCACTGAGGTTGTTTTTCAACTGAATTTTACCCAACTCACTTTACCTATTTAAGTTCCTTGCCTCTGCCCAGGAGGTGTCACAGTTTAAAATCACTAGGCCTTTGCCTAGAAATGCAGTATTATACTCTGGCAGACCAGGTCCTGGATGTTTACAAAAACAGTTGGCACCCAGAATCATCTGGATAGTACAGCAGAGGAAAGGAGGCAGGGAAAAGGCCTACACAGTACTAGCAGCCCACAGTCAGTTGTCAGGGAAGAGGTAAATTTGGACTTAATCAAGTTCTTTGTTCCTTTTTAATAAGGTTCTTGGAGTCAGAAATCCATACTTCCTATGCCAGAGAAACATGGGTGAGGGAGGCTCCTGGTGGCCATGCTGGAAGGATGACAGCTTAATCAAGTTCTTTGTTCCTTTTTAATAAGGTTCTTGGAGTCAGAAATCCATACTTCCTACGCCAGAGAAACATGGGTGAGGGAGGCTCCTGGTGGCCATGCTGGAAGGATGACAGTGGGGATGAAAGCAAAAGAACCTGATGGCACAAGTAAAAATCTGAAGTAGCTGTATGGGCAACATGGAGCTGTTTTCCTTGTCTTTAACCTTGAAGAATGACACAGTTTGCTTAAATTAGGGGTCAGTGCTTTTCATATACAAAAGTTTTCAGCAAGGGATACAAGATCTATGAAGGTCTTAAAAAGTTCATGGAAAGATTTATATTATCTTTTAATTCCATTTTCCTACAAATTTTTCAAAGTACCGTCATATTTTGTATTGCAATGTAAATGTGCTGCACTGAGTACAAAAAATTTGACACTATATTTAAGTATCCCATGATTACATCTGTAAATTAAAATTGTTTAGTATGGATATTTCAATAACATTGTTAATTATAAAACTACCAATTAAAAGAAAAGCATACTTTTCTAGGAATACATCAACAATATACATTTGTATATGTATAAATACTTATTTGTACAAATAAACGTATATATGTATAAATGTCTATGTATCTAAACTTACATACTTACGTATAAAGTATTTTAAAATATAACGTAACTTATTATGTATTGATTTCTCTCATTTCTCCCTCTTCCCCAACATATAATCTCTCTCTCTCTCCTCTCTCTCACACACACACACACACACACGATTCAGTATCAGTTGCTTTTATACAATACATAACATACATAACACAATTTCCTTTATGGAAGTACTGAATAAATATACTTTGACAATTACTGATTAATTCCTTTTAAAGATTGTACCAAAATTAAACAACAAAACAATTTGAGTAAGAACTGAGTAATAAATATAGAGCTGATGATTTTAATAAAAATCTAAGCCAAGTCCCAAAACCTAAATTTTGCAAATCAATGTATATATAATAGAAAGGTATTATTTTCCTCTATCACCAACAGGAAAAAAAAAAGAGTGGTTGAACGGATGTGTAGTAATGACAAACAAAGTTACAGCAAAAAGTGATAAACTTAAAATGTCTCAGGCAATAATTTTTCATGTGGAATTTGGCTCAAATGGCATAGCAGATGCCAATCGAAACAGTGACAGGCATGCGACCTGTAGTGCTATCTAAACGATGTCACTGGTCTCAATATTCCCAGTAGCAGTGACTGGTGGCAAGAAGTCAAGAGCACTCTGGCCTAGTACCTGAAGCCAAGCACCAGGCATTTCAGTGACAGGATTCCATGATTGAGACTGCTACTGATAAAAGGTTTGTATATCTGATTGGTGAACTCATACAATACTCACTAACATTGGGGGGGCGGGGGGAGCCTGAAAATGAGAAAAAGTATTATATAAAGTTACCGAGTAATCAATGTGAACAAGATGGAATCAAGGTAGCAAAATCAAAAGTAACAAGGAATGAAGGGATGTAATAACAGAAGCCCTAGGTGAGACTTCAGTACATGATTTAAGAAAGAAATCTTTTACCCAACTAGAATGATTTGAACAGAGACTTCTGCGGGCCTTAATCAAAATGTGCAATATTAAGAATTGGAAGGAAAAATGTAAACTGTTTTGTGCTGCTAAAAGAGATATCTCAGTTTTCATCGATGGTTCTATCGGCTTCCACCAGAGTGACACTTTCTAAATTGGTAATGCACAAACAAATAAAAATGGCAATGAATATAATTGCTCATTTTGCAGCTGTTCAGTAACGAAATTCTTTTATAGTTGCTGTTATGGAAATTTAATGAGGAAATTATTTCCACACAGCCTTTTGAGGCATTACAGGTGACTATTAAATTTAAAATTATATTTGATGCTACTGCATGTGATAAAAGCTTACATTCCTAGAACTAAGACTTTGAGAATGTTAAGTGCATCATAAAAAGAGAGACTGTGCTCCTTTTTTCAGTGCCAAGTATGACATCTTTCTCCCAATAAAAGAGAGAGTGATATGGTCAAACTACACATATTCAAAGAATTTGTGTCATAAAGTCCTTTTTATTTTCATTGTGGAACAAAAGTGACAACCTTGAAAAAACAAAACAAAAATAATATTTACACAACATGGTACAGGTTTATAATAGATTTGCATATATTTCATTTGCTCTCACACCATTCTTTCTGAGGCTGCTATCATTATTATCCTCAATTTATGAACAAGAAAAAAAGGCCAAAGAAGTTTCAGTGGCTTGCCTAAGCACACATCCTTAGGATGGGACAGAGCCACTTAACTCCAAGTTTCAAGCTATGTCCCTTATGCATCATGCCACTCACCAAAGCAATTCGAGGCAGAGGAAGCTAAAGCTAAGAAAGAGTTGTAAGTATTAATATTCTTCTCCAGCTTGAAAAAGGAAAGGATGATCTGTATGGACTGTGGATTAGGCAGGGTGAAAAGACAAAGTATGGACTATAGACATTTTTATTAGGAGAGAGACAATTTTAAAAAAATACTAAAATAGAAAGTCACCAAGGGGGTGGGAAATTTTCTCTCTTTCTGGCAAGCAGAGGGCTACACAAAGAATAGCTGGCGGTGCCTAAAGCCATGTGTGCTGTCACATGTGTGTCATATGTCACATGTGAAGTCCTGAATGTGTCAGGAGAAAAGTCCACATATAAGGCCTTGAGATGGTAACTACTTCACTCTCCTATTCCTTTTGGGGAATCCATTAACTATTCCTCTAATCTACCAAGAAGTTCAAGATGTTCACAGGACATGGCAGTAAAAAGAACTGATGAGCACGGTTCTCAAAATGTACCCTGTGTAAAAGGTTAAAAAGAAACAAAGGGAAATGACAGACAGGATGGTAGATAAAGGGCAGACTCTTCATGAGATTCAAATTTCTTAAAAAGGATATTGTATGCTCATGATTGAGCAGGAAATTAATAAAGTAAACCTATAGTAAAGCAATAACAAACTATTAAAACATGGAGAAAAAAGAAACATGTTAACAATGAGTAATGGATAACATTTACTTGATTCCCTATATGGTGTTACATTTTCTGGTTTGTTGTTAAATCGACCATTTTGAAGAATGGTTAACCATTTCTATCATCATCTTAGCTTTATAAATTAAACAAATCATTTTGTTTGTATAGACAGTGTGAAAAGTTCAATATGTCTGGGCAGATACTGACTCAAAATCTGAAAGTTTTGATTTAAACAGGAAGAGATGGTTGCAATAGAGTTCATCTAAACCATACAACAGTGAAACAGATGTGTGCTTTGTGCCCGAATATAAAACACCACCTTGCTCTCTCTATATAAACTTATAACTAAGTTTAAAGCACTTATATAGCTAATAAGCTATTATAACCTCAACACATCCTTGTTTTCTTTAAAAAAAAAAAAAAAAATCAAGAAAATTGTGACATATAATTCTATGTGACTCAACCAAAGTTAAAATAGCTAACTTATGGCCGAACCAGACTAGAACTCAAGCTTCCTAATAATTAATATATGCTGCTCTTCCTACTAGGCTACCTTGCCTCCACCCCATCACAAAGGAACTCGTGGTGTGAATTAACCTTTGGAAAGTATAATAAAGGACATGTATTCAATGCTTGAAATTTTATTATACAATCTTCATGTCCACATATATAATTGAAGAAAGGAATGATAATCTGTTGTTATGTATCCAATTAAATAAAATTACATTTTCTGGTGAAACTTAAAAAACAAATAAAGTTAAAATTTACATAAAAATAAAAATATAAGAAAAAAGTGATATGTACCACATTCAGATACATCTATCTGTACCCGCCTGTTTGCAAATGGACAGATAGATGTATCTTTAAATAATCAGACTGTCTATGTAAAAATTCAGATAGTACTTTCCTCCTGACAGGTCTGTGGCTAGCTGGGTTTCTACCTAGGATAAGCTAGCCCTGCTTTCCAGAGTAGTTACAGCAGAAATTCCAGAGAAATTATAGAAGAGATTTCAGACTATACATACCACATGGGTTCACTGTTGTGCCAAATTGGGTTAATTCTTGTCAGAGATCATTTGATGTTTGCATTACTTGCCTATTTCAAAATCTATTGGCTTCTAAGGTCCAAAAGTGTTCTTGTAACACAGAAAGGTCTTTAGCCATTTGGTCCAAGCACACAGTTTATACATATGGCCTGTAATAAATAACTGATAGACCCATGAGAAAAAAAATCATTTCTTTTATAGACAGAAAATATTGTATGTTAAACCATATGGTCCAATAGATCTTAGAAGACCATGTAAAATAAAAATTACTTTTTAAAAATGTTTAAAATTCCATGTATTCATGGAAAATTCAGTGTATCACTTACTTTTCTATTCCCAGAAGCACAACTGTATCCTCCTAATCATTACTCTCTAGTGTGCAGAACAAGAAAGAATGGCCAATGAGCCACAGTACCAAAAGTTACATCTAGACAAGAGCCATTCACAAACATTTTTTACTCTAGCAATCTAGATTCCCAAGTATAGCTTGGCTCTTGTATTCTAACTCACCTCACATGATAATCAGTTGCTGGTCTAAGATCTTTCAGGTTACATTCTAATTCTTCTCCACTGTAAAGAAAAACCATTCATTAATTAATAATGCCAATTTCAAAAACAAAACAGGTTTTATATTTGCATCTCATAGTCATGTACTGATGATATTTCGAGAACTACTGTCTGATTCTACTATAACCCTGATATAAATTTTCTTATTTGGTATTATTATTTTTGGACTAGAAAATTAGTTTCCTTTTAATGATGCCATCCCAGATCAGGAAAACAGAAGGGGTAACTTACTAATAAAATTCCAAAAGGTCGTGCTCGCTTCGGCAGCACATATACTAAAATTCCAAAAGGTCTTATCACTTCTTAAAAGTAAATAGGTAAATAAGTAAGCAAATGAAGAAATGAATGAATGTAAATAACTGTACCAGCTGTCAACCGAAGGGAGCTCTCAGATTCACCTTGGCAGGGCCTTCAACCACCTCAGCTCTGGACTCTTGATGAAATTGCAATCTGCTTCCCTCACATACCAATGCACCCAATAATTAGCTCTCTTATATAAAGTAAAACCATTTATATGATAAGTTGTAACTAAACCTCCACTTAAATTATGAAGACGCAACCAACACAAAATAATGTTCCATCACAAATTTTCAAAAAGGTGAGAGGTGTGTTTATGCATGTGACTTACTTTGTATTCTTCAAAAATGTCAGTGTCATAAAAGAGGAAGAAATACTGTGAAATGTTCCAAATTAAAGAAGGCTAAGGAGACATGCCAGCTAAAGACAATATCTGACCCTGGATTGGATCCTGTCCTAGAGGGGAAGAAAAATGCTATAACATTTCTCAAAATAAAAAACATTTCAACTGACAGAACTGGAATACGGATGATGGCATTAGATAAAAGTATTATATCAACATAAGTTTATAAAGTTGATAATTGCACTGTGGTTGTTTGAGAAAATGTCCATATCCTTAGGAAATATACTGAAATATTAAGCAGTAAAGGACCATGATATGTAACACTTTTGGAAAGAAAATTATAGATTGAGAGGAGAGAATGGGAGAGAGGGAGAGGCTCAAATGATAGAGCAAATAGGGTAAAAAGGTAGTAACAGGTGGATCTGGGTAAAGAGAATACATGTACTTGCACTGCTTGATCTATTTTTGTAACATTTTATAAATTTGAAGTTATTCCAAATAAAAAGTTTCTTTAAAGTTGCAAACTGGAAGCTAGATGCACTCCTTGCCTGAAGCTAGGTTGTTAGGCCTACATTGTATCTTGAAAATTTTGCAGTTACTGAATTAGTTTATCAGTAAAGTTTACATTAATAACTCATATTTTCAGCATGACTTGAAAAAAAATCCAAAGAAACAGTGAATCTAGGCAACAACATATTTAGGCTAAATGGCAACTGCCCCTTTAAGAGAGAGAAAGGAGCTCTGCTGCTGACCTCAATTCCAACCTTTCTACTTTTCTCATTTCTGCAACGCCTGCCTAGCTCCTCTGCGCACCTGAGACTCTAGCTCCAGTCACCATCTTGCACTAATAGAATCTATCTCTTATCAGTTTCTTGGCAGAGGTGGGGGGAAACGGCTGTCTGTATTTCTTTACAGTCTCTACCTATGATGATTTTTTCAAAGTAGAACCAAATGGTTGTGAGCCAGAGTAAGGAGTTAGGATTTTATTCTAAGTACAGTGGAGAGTCAACAGAGTGTTCTCCACAGGGCAGTGACATAGTCTGACATGTCTCTGCAGTATGGATGCTGGAAGACCCCAAGAAGACTGCTGCAGGGGACCAGGAAAGACAGGGGAGAAGAGAGCAGCCGAAAGGCTTCGCTCATTATCTCCTTTCCCCTTTTCTTTGTCTGGAAGACCTGTCCGGGCAGCAAGTTAAGAATTAAGAAGAGGGATGGGAAGATAAAATTCTGTAGCAATGATGATGCAGGAAATGGGAGAGAAAACAAACACCTCTGGCAGAGGAAGAAGTAGGGTTTGTGTGACCACATTACCCTTCATTCTAGGGGCCACTCACAGGAATGTCAAGAAAGTACTTAAAACTGACCAAATCTGAGCAGTGCCCAGTAATTACAGTGGAGAAAAGACTTGACCCTAAAATTTTTATCATATTTAGAACAGGGCTGTAAATCATTTGAATGGTAATGTCTTGGGAGTCCAGCAGCAGAAGGGACTAGTCCTTTGTTCTGTGTGCTAAACTTCTGACCATTTAAGAAAGGCTTGGAATGAAATATTTTAAAGTAACCTTTATTACAAGCTGGAAAACTATTGTGGAGGATAAGAAGGAGGATGAAGTGAAAGAAAACCATATCGCAGAATTTTTAAAAATAGGACTAGAAAAAGGTCTGGGTCTAAAAAGTAAGAGGTAACCATATGATTGCATAATGTATGCAAAAACTAAAAGTCAGTCACTTTTGGCCCTGATAGACATTAATGAAAAATTTTCTTTAATACTATACCAATAACTAACAAAATCAAGTGATGTATTTCACCCATACCAAATAGTTCTATGCTACTTATTTCTGATTAATAGGCTTTGGACAAAATTAATTAACATTACAATTATTACTAATTGTTCAAATGAACCATTTAAAGGAAAATTTGCAAAGCTTATAAGTTTTTCTTTTGTTTTCTGTTTTCTTTAACAACTCCAATTCCACAGCTTAGCAGTGAAGAAAAACACATGGAAACATACATTACCTGTAAATTGTCTTGTATTTTCCATCTCGTCCTTTGTCTGATAAGGCAACCTCATAACTGTAGGGGAAGGAAAGACCACTGTGGGGTCCACATGAAAGTCCAACAGGAGGAGCCCAGGACAATACCACTGCTCTTGCCTGAATATTAGAAACCTGAGGAAGAAAAACATGAGACAAAAGTATTCAAACTGATGAAATGACATGAATATTGAAAAAAAGTATTCACATGAATCAGACACCTCCTTCCTCCAATAACATTTTTGTAATATTAGTGGCATGGACATAGCTCATGGCATGGACATAATAAGGCAACAACTTTAATTACAATGAAAGACATCCTATATAGTGCTCTCTTGTCGAAGTTCTAATATTCAAAATATAGCTCCTGCAACACCTGTCCTTATAATGCAAACTTTCATCCAAGTCCAGTGCAATTCATACTTAGTCCTCTAGAACGTACGATCAGTCATGCTTGGGAATTTTCTTAAAGGGAAAAAGTTGAATGTGAAATTTCAATGATCTACATGATGCCTATCACATTATGTGAAAGAAACCATACCCACAGGTACTTTCTGGTGGCCTCTGAGCCCTGCTTGGTGTCGAATTGAAGCCAATACCTTTTGAACAATGCCCTTGGAGTCCTGCAGATTCCAGGTTCCAGAAGAACCCAAGAACAGGAAACAAGGAGCAGGCTGATCAACGGGGTAGAACGTACGCAGAGGTGGACATGGTTCAGCCTCTGTTACGACTTCATTTGAACAAGAGTCTGAAACTTTAATTACTCTGACGTTCTTACCCTTACTTAGCACTACTCTAAGCCATGTTTTCACCTGTCGTCCACAGGTCCTCAGAAGGACTCAGCCACAGTCACCACAATAGTAACCTGTCCTTTAACATACCCTAACTTGCCTGCTGCTGGAACCCCCCTTCAGGATGCTGTCCCCTCTCACAGCCCTGTGACTATTTTGACTTTCCTGCTTTCTTGGCTTTGACACACTTCTTTTAGGCCCAGTTCGAATGCTACCTTTGTGTGCTCATCATACCTCACCCTGTGAGGAGCTGTGGACACAAAGATGATTAAGATATGATCTCTGGCTTCAAGGAACGCCAACTTGGTTTTCCTGCTTTCTTGGCTTTGACACACTTCTTTTAGGCCCAGTTCGAATGCTACCTTTGTGTACTCATCATACCTCACCCTGTGAGGAGCTGTGGACACAAAGATGATTAAGATATGATCTCTGGCTTCAAGGAACGCCAACTTGGTGAGGAGAGACAGGTGTATGAGGGGCCTCATGGCAGATGCACTGAGCATGAAGGGGATCCAAAGTGTCCTGGACTGATTCTGGAAAGGTCATATCCTGTCCTTCCAGAATCCCTGGTCAGAAGCAATCAGTATTTAATTTGTACTCTGGACACATTTTCCTGGTACCTATTTTTGGTGCTTATTTCATCATACTGAGCATTACTTGGTTATTTGTGTTGTTTCCTTAACTAAATTTTAAGACAGCATTCCTTACTTACCCCAGTGTATTTGCTGAAATCCTTTACACACCATTAATGAGTAATTCTGAGATACAGGGTATTATATTTGATTTTTAACTTAATAGGAAATATTTTGCTATGAAGAGTTCAGTTTATAATGAAAAAGGAGGCCGATTAGATACTAGACTGGGAAACATTGCGATAAATGGCTGCTTTGCACAATTCCAAGAACACAGTACCATACGCAGTAACATTGATTCTTAGAATGGCGGCGTAAAATAGCATCACTTCTCAAAACAGCTCAGTCAAAGGCTAGCACTCTAGATACCCAACAAGTGTCCATAAATTCCCATCCTTTTAAACTCCAGCTTTTTCACAGCTACTACAAATTTACTTTTTTCCTTTAGGACTTGGTTAAACTATTATTTAACTGAACAGAGACGTACAACATGAAGCATCAGTTAAAATAACATTAATCTTTTCTCTAAATTCCCTGAACAAGGCTTCAGGAGGCAAACTGTCATCTGAACACAGGTATTTGTGGAAATGCACTCTTCTGATATGACAACCTTTCAGAAATGCACTTTGAGAACTCAGCATCATTTTCCAAGGATGGTGGTTTCTGCAAATTCCATCATCTAGCTAAGCAGGCTGCCACCTAGATTATGATCACTGTTCTGGTGCCCAGTCTCCACCTGTGCTCCTGCTCCCTCCCTTTTACTGACTCTTGGCCTCAGGTTTCCCTTCTTTAGGCACTGGAATCCTGAGAGAAAGAGTGCTCAGTCTGTTAGGACTCAGAACTCATTTCCATGTCAAGGCTGATTCCAGGAAATTACATGGTGCCTTTCAAGAGAATGTCACATAAAGGTGAATTCTCAGCACTACATGTGTTTACTCTGAGTGTCTTGGGAGGTGCTGTCTTAGTGGGAGATTCGGAACTCTAGGAACCCTATCTGGGTTCAAGTTTATTTCAGAGTGACAGCACTCGGACATGACCTTCATACTGCAGTCTCTCCTGTGCTGAAATTTTCTCACCGGCAGTGATTACCAAAGTTAACTAGGGCATGGCTAATCTGATCACCACAGTCATGGCTGATGCCCTCTCCCACCCCCCCAAAAAGTTTAGAAGCCATAAAACTCACTGACTTCCTGATGTTCAATCTACCATAACTAGAAATCAATCTCCTTTGTAACTCAGTGATAAAAGTGGTGATTCCTAGTTACAAAGTTATTGGACAAGGTGCAATCTGACATTTGTTTCTGCACTAGTGATATAAAAGGGTCTGTTGTGTAGGTTACTAGTGTAAATCTGCATTAAGAACTATTTAAAATAAACTGCTTTTAAGTACCTTGAAAGACTCATAAAACCACTACCTACTTCTGAATGGTCACAATACCAAGCAGAAATCATTCTTGTCTATGTATTTACTAAATATAGATTCCAACTTGAGAGCAGTTGTATTATGTGTGTGTGTGTGCATATCTGAGGAAATTCTAAAACTGCATTGTCTTAGTCCTTCGATATGAAATCCTTAGTTCTCTTTCTCCTTGTCCCTTCTCTCCTGTTCATCCCAGGATTTTAATACTATTCTGTAAAATTTTATGATTTTTATTCTCTTTCATGTTCAAAAATACTTATTTGCTAGAAGCTTCTTAATTTGGTCTGGCCTTTGGTCATAACTGTGTGGGAGGCCTACTAATATAATCAAGGAGTATGCTAAGGAAATATTACCTTAGAATACTGGCTTCACTTCCATCATGAGAAATAACAACATAAAGGAAAATAAATGAAAAAGGAAAAGGTCAATGAAAGAGAATACTCAAATCTAAAATTTTCACAATCATCTGTTTCTATAATTCCTTAAGTGCTAACAGCCTCAAATCTGTTCCCAGATATATTGTTTATCTTTCAAGGAATTGCTTCTTACAGGGGAAGTGTTCCTCTTAAGACAGTTTACTCACTTCTGGAACCGACAAATCAATTGTTTCTACAAGCTAAACTTTAGCGGATGGAAACAATGCAGAACCACAATTTCAGGTTACACTTATTTACATCCTGAAAATAAACAGCCCACCAGTATGTAGACTACATCAAGCGCCACCATCAGAGATTAGACCACATTAAGCTGGAGGTGGCTGGTTAATTCCTAAACCACTTACAGTAATATTTAGCTTATTCCTCTGCAACATCAGTGGCTAAGTCTCCAATGCATGCTGATTGTTACAGTCCCAGGACAAATACCTAATATATTTGTATGCTTTTTTATTAAAATTTAAATAAAATTGACTAAGTGTTTGGATCTTTATAGTGTCTGGGTCTCTGAGAAGTAAAGCTTTAGGAAAATGACCGAAATCCCCAAATCCTAAATATTGTTTCTGCACCTAAATCAAATCATCTGCAAAAATCTCAAAGAAAAACATATGCCTTTTATTTAGAGATATTACCAGATGTGGCTGAAAGAAAACAAAATTAAGAATAACAATCCTTTTTACAATTGTGTGCCCAACTTCCTACAGCTCCACTTCTTTGCCTGGAAGATAGCCTGACACCCCTCTTTCCCATTTCAGAGCATAACAGGGAGTTTCACTTTTGCTTAATGATACGCTATGAACTATAGAGAAATATTACATCCCAAGTATTCTATAAATAGTATATAATTTAATTCCCAGATAGCCCCATGTGGTATTTATTATCCTACCTTTAAAGATGAGGAAATCAAGGCACAGAGAGGTCATGCTACTTACCCAAGGTCACAGTGGCAGTTAATAGGCATGCTAGGTCCCAATCCAGACTGCTGGACTGCAAAACATGGGCCCTCCCCCTCCTGCTGTCTTGTACACTGGCACCCAGCTGTTCCAGCATTCCCTAAGCTGGTTTAGCTTCATCCTCTGATGCTGGTCAGCCTTCAGGTATTTGTCCCACCTGCCAGAATCTAGCTACAGCTGCTGTAGTCTGCCACACATTTATTCAGCAAACATCTGGTAAGGGTTTACTATGTGCCAAGGACAGTGCTACGTACTGGGGACACAAAGATAAATAAGATACAATCATGAATACAAACTTCAAAGAGAAAAAGGGTAGGAGAGACAAGGAGAGGGAGAGGGAGAAAATTGTGTAAACAACTAACTAGGCAGGGAGTGATGAGTGGACTGTCACCAGGCAGAGAAGACTTATGAGGAACAGGGGGCAGTGTGGTGGGGAGCATAAGGACTCCCCAGAGATGTCCTGATGTAGTCCTGGAACCTGTGAATGTATTACCTTACATGGAAAAGGAATTTGGCAGGTGTGATTAAGTTAAGGACCTTGTGGAGGGGAGATATTCCTGGATTATCCAGATAGGCCCGATGTAAATCCAAAGGTCCTTATAAGTGAAAGAGGAAGGCAGAAGACTCAGAGCCAGAGAAGGAGGTGTGAAGATGGAAGCAGGACTTGGAGAAGTAGGACTGCTGACTCTAAAGATGGAAGGGGCCATAAGCCAAGGAAAGCAGGCTGCCTCTAGACACTGGAAAAGGCAAGGAACCAGATTTACTCCCAAAGCCTACGGAATATAACGCAGCCCTGGCAACATCTTGATTTAGCTCAGCAAGACCCATTTGGGACTTTCTGACCTCCAGAACTTTAAGAAAATAAATCTGTATTGTTTTAAGCCACTGAATTTATGGAAATTTGTGACAACAGCAATAGGAAACTACTACACATGGACAGGAAGAGAAGTTGTCATTATGTCAAAAGCAGGAGGCACGAACGAGCATGGCACTCAGAACTGCACTTATCTGGGATGCCTCCAGCCCACACAACCTGGATGTACTTTTGCTGCCATCCAGTGCCCCAGTCCCAGAGGCTGGGCAGCAACAGTCACCACCCACACACTGTTAAAACAACTGAAGTGACTGTGTCCTAGGATGCCCACTGCCTTTCACTGAATGGCTTAAAAGATAGGATGTAATATTTTGGCAAGTCCAAGTCTCAATGCTAAAAAGAGCATCAGACATAAATGCTGATCTATAGATCTTTAATGACTCTACAAAGCTTGTAAATGCTTGAGACTTTGTTGTTTCTACTCGTCTCCTGAAAGTTTGTCAGCCTGCCTTTTCCAATCCTAGATAACATGCTGCTTATGAAGCAGAATTGACAACTCCAGCTTTACAGGACTAAGGAAATCCCTGGCTATACTTACTATATCCATACCCATCTAAACCATGTTGATGTAGAAACAATATCTTCTGACTGAATTTCTATCCCCAAATTCATCTCAGAACTTTGGAGGAGAGCAATGAGAAAGGATGACATCCAGGTAAGCTGACTGGTTACCCAGACAGGCCGCCACTTTGTGTCATTTACCAGAGTACATTCTCTGGCCCTCTGCCCAGCAGACTCAGACACTCAATCTAGCTGGTGTTCCAGAGTCCATCTAAAGTATTATATACTTTAGAATCAAGTACATAATATCATATTACCAATTAATTATTTCATAAGGAAAAACAAAATTATCTGGTAGATTAGACAGCACTACCAACCTGCCTCATCTTTTTTCTCTCTGTTGGCTACAGGAAAGCCAAATTCTCAAAAGGCTGCTATGTTGGCAGCAACTGAGAAAAAGGAGAAGCAGCCACGTGATTCAAGGGTCTAAAGACACCAGGCTCTGAGAAGCCAACTCTCCATGACGGCAAGAGAACTGCCTGGCCAGGCTAGGATACGTAGAGCCAATATCCACCTGCTTCTGTCGCCAAGCAATCCTTCTCTCCAAGTAGTACAGACAAAAGTTCTCGGATGTCAATCTTACCATATTATACCTTACATCACAGCTACTTATGAAAAGCCTGTCCATCAACCCTGCTCTAAAAATCATAGATTAACTGCTTAATAAACACTGAATCAAGGAAAAAGACCAATGCTTCTAAATATCATTTTTATCTGGCTACCTAGAAACATCAATTCTGTCACTTCTGCAGTCCAAAAGTGACTAGGAACATCTGAAGAAAAGCACTGTGTGCACACACAATTGAAGTTTTGTGACTACATCTGGGACAATGAACTAACCCGTTGCCCTGCCTTCTCTCTCTGATTATGACTCCTGTTTCCTCATGAATTTTTCTTCTTTCTATTGTACTATAAATATAAGCTTGGTCCATGATTCTGCTCTCAAGCCTTTTCTACTCTCTCCCTAGACTCCATCCCCTCCCCACAGCTATCATCCACGCCTACAAGTTTAACTGCTGTTCCTGTGCTGGAATCTCCTGATCAGAATCCTGCTGCTCCTCTCTCCACAGCACTGATCTACCAGACACTTGCGACTGCCCACTGCATTTTTCCAGATGTCCTGCCAGTGAAACAAACTCAAGAATGGCACTGAAGATACAAAAAGGACACAGACAAGGACCTATAGATTACTGGGAAAGAAGAGAAACAAGTAAATGGAGCACAATGTACGAAATCCAACAGCAGAGGAACATGCAGAGCACAGTGAAACTGCAGGTGGTACCAGTGGTACTAAGTAAGTACTAGGAGGAGTATCGCACTTGACGGGCATGGACAGCAAACAGAGGAGACATCTTACAGGAAGTGATTAAAGCCCAGCTATTTATGACACTCGGCATGGAATAGGTTATACGCCTTACTGATTTTTCTCTAGAGTGGCTCTACTATCCATCTCCTGTCCTTGCCACATCTGATGCCACCACTCTAATTCTGACTCCCATAGCTTCTTACCAGAACTATACTAGTAGATTCCTAATACTTCTCTCCCTGGGTCCACTTCCTTCTCACTCCAGCTCTTCTGAAAATACAGTCCTGATTATATAACTGCTTTGCTCAAAAACCCTCAATGGCAGCCTGCTTCTTAACCAGAGTAAGCACAGACTCCCCAACCCATCTTCAATGCCCACTCCTCTACAAGTGCCCTTTATGCCTGTCCTCCAACACACCTCATGCTTTTAGGTTTAGTCAAACTCAACTATGTACCCTGAGGCATGTTTGGACTCTTCTCTTAAAAAGCCTCAGTATTTGAAACACATTAGAATCAAGGTTTTCCAATTCAGCTAGAAAACACTCCAAAGAACTTTGGCTCTCTAATCTCAGATGAAAGGCTGAATCAACATTCTGAATTTTTCACTTGAATTTCAAAGCACCTGGCAAAATCAAACTTAAAACCTCACAATATCATTACTCTCACAGATTTTTTTCTTGTCATTGCACTCAATGTCCTGAACTTATTTTTCTCAGCTAATAATTAAATATCTTTTTAAAATTTACCTGGGAAAAGACTTGGAATTACTGAGATTTTCAAAAATTATTGTTACTACATTTACACAGGTAAAAGGAAATTACCAAAAGAAATCTGTTCTGTAGATCTGAGAAAGAAAAAAAAAATGCACCCTTGGAAGTTGGAAAGAATATCTAATTGCATTTGGAATATCTAAATAAAGAAGACATTTCAGCAGATTATAATGACACAGAAGACTGCTGTTCTACATTTTCATGCCCCATGAGTAACTGAACACTATTTCACAGTTCATGAATAATATGTAATGAGAAGGGCCCTTTTCTTACCTACTGTGTGGTGAAATAAAAAAAAACACATTTGAAATACTTAAGAAAGTGTCATTTATGCTGAGAAATCCAGAAGACATACCTGTGGCTTCTCTATTCCCGAAAGAATGTCTTGCACCCTCTTTACTTCCAACTCATACTCTGTATTGCAAAAAAGAGAAAAGGAAAAACAATACCATTAGAAGGCAATAAGGTTGTAGGGTTTCTTCCCCAAGGTCTTTTAACTAGGGCTATCATTAAGTCAGGTGCCTGTTACCATGAATTTTGGGTACCACAAACATGATAATGAAAATCAGGGATGGGGATGTGGGGGTGTCTCTGGGGTAGGGGTTTCACTGTGATTGTGCTAAGATGCCACTGTATAGTTTTAAGTATTCACAGTGTTAATGACATTAACACACAGAGTTCCACTTATTAATTCAACAGGCAACAAGGAATAACAGGTCCTAAGAAGGATGAGTGGAAATGCAGCTGGAGGTTGAGGGTAATGAAGAGAGGAGGTTGAAGAGATGGTGTCCAGTCTATGCAGGGCTAAGAGTTCAATTTTTCAATTCAATTTTTTATTTATTTTGTGTTCAAATTTTTAAGTCAGGTAGGCAGCCACTGGAGTGTTTAAGTGGAGAACTGGCATGATCATATATTGAGTCTGAAAAGAACTGCTTGGCTTCTGAGTGAATAATAGATATAAATCAGGTAAGAGTGGAAGCAGAAAGACGATTCAGAGTACTGCTGCAGTGGTCCAGGTAAAGGATAGAGCTGGCCTGGGCTGGGTTTGCAGAAAAGATGGTGAGAACAGGACTAGTTTGGGAGGTATAGTTGCTGAAGGACTGAATCTGATAGGCAAGGGTAACGGAATGTTAAGAATCAAGGATAATTCCTACTTTTTGACTTATCAACTGAAGGTGGGGAAATGTACATGTTTCAGGGTAGAATGACAATTATATTTTAGAAATGAAAGGGGAAAGGAGCTTGGAGTAGAGAGGATGGGGTGGGAAGGATGTGTACAAAAAAACAATAAATAGAATTGAAACTTAAGACTCCATGTTGTTAGAGGAAACTTGATTTTTATAATGGGCTTGGTGGAATCTAATATTGAGTTTATACTAGATTCCATTTAACTGTTCAACCTAGTTTATGAGTTAAATGCTGGAGAGATATTACCAAGACATATATCCTTGCCCCCAAGATATTTCAAGTCCAGTTTGAGGTTGGGGTGGGGGGGTGGCAGGAAATGAAAGCAAATAGGTAATTACAATGCCATGTGATAGGTGTTCTGGTAAAGCTAAACCAAAAGAGGGCATTTTGGTGAAGTCTTCCTAGGAACCAACATCCAGCTGAGCCCTGTGCATAAGCAGGCATTTGGAGGTGAGGGGGAGGTGGAACCAGGGGGTGAGAGGGGGTTAACAGTCCAGCTCTTCACAGCGCTATTCATTCTCATTGTTCAGGTCTAATGTCAAAGTCACCTCTTCAAAGAATCCCACCCTAACCACGACCCTTTGCCCTAGCCTCACTCCTGTCACTCTTATATCTTTTTTTTCTTCTAATCAGTCATCAAAATCCAAAAAGAATTCCCTTGTTTATTTTTTCCCTTGCTTATTATTGGTCTTTCCTTCCCAAGTCTCAGGAAGGCAGAGATACTCTAGGCCTGGAGTACACAAATTTTTTCTGTAAAGAACCACATAAATATTTTAAACTTTGTGGGTCACACATTGGTCTTGGTTGCATATTCTTCTTTGTTTTTTTGTTTTTATAACCCTTTAAACATGCAACAACAATCTCAGTTTGCAGACCACACAATCACAGGCCACAGGGCAGGCCAGTTTGCTGACCCCTATTTGAGGACATGGTCACCTTCTACTGGCAGCACCTAGAACAGTTCCTCATATTCAAATCTCAACAGATACTTGTTGACTAAATAAATGAACACTCTACATTAAAAATGATAAAAACTTCTAGTTGGCACCACTCTAAACTTTAAAAGGATTAGTTCTTTGTTTTTTTCTGTTTGCATTCTGTTTAGAAGAACATGTTTACCTTTATTCTGACAAGAAAAATAAAGAGGCTGGTGGCGATATTATAATTTCTAAAACTGCAACATTTTAAAAGAAAGCCCACATTCAAAAAAACCACATGTCACAAGCTCATTTATAATCATGCATTCATGTTAAGATATGGATAATGGATTGTACCCATAAATCAAAAGTAGACATTCCCTCAAATTTTCCAGAAGCCCCTACCTACTAAGTAAACTATAAATATTATGTATCTCAAAAGTTAACTGTCAACTAAAAAACAAAAACAAAACATAAGCACAGTTGTAATAAGTGAACTGGTTCAGTTGTTAAAGACAATATTCTCAATCTCTGGTTACTCTTAAGAGTTTGAAGGACTCTATATGGTTTCACACACTCACGTAGCTGAAAGAGGTAACTGTTTCCTTCTCCCATGAAAGACACATTTAGATTATTTCAGCAGAGCAAGAAACCAGACTCTATCCTTGAGGTAACAAAAGTTTAGATTAAAACAGGGATGACCATATTCAACACAGAAATAAATGAAGAATTAAAGAGATCTGCAAAGGAGGAATCCTCAGAACTATGCACTAGACATAGGTACAAAGGAACAAAGAGTTAAGGAAGGGATGCTATGCCCCACGAAAATTGAAGTCTCCCTCCCACCCTGCTTTCAAATGCAGATGACAGAAGAAATGGTTATGCTTTTGACAGAGAAAAGAAAAAAAATGGGGGGCCGACCCCAAAGGAAGGGATGCTATGCCCCACGAAAATTGAAGTCTCCCTCCCACCCTGCTTTCAAATGCACATGACAGAAGAAATGGTTATGCTTTTGACAGAGAAAAGAAAAAAAATGGGGGGCCGACCCCGTGGCTCACTCGGGAGATTGCGGCGCTGGGTGCGCCGTGGCTGCGGGTTCGGATCCTATATAGGGATGGCCGGTGCGCTCACTGGCTGAGCCCGGTGCGGGTAACACCAAGCCAAGGGTTACGATCCCCTTACCGGTCCCCCCCCCAAAAAAGAAAGAAAAAGAAAAAAAAAATGGGGAAGGAGGCTAGATAAGAAGGAAAAAAAGATCTGTCCAAAATAAAAAAGAATGGGTTTCAGGAAAGAGCTAGAAACACATGTGAAAGGTCCTGATAAGTTGATAAAATCAACTTTCAAAGAGAGGTCAGGACTTTCCTTGTCTGTCTGCCTTTGATCACAATCATAAAAGCTGACATTTTTCTGATCACCCAAGTCTGTGGTGTCAGCGCACCATCTCCTTGCTAATTTTCACCACATTCCTTTTAAGATCTCTGCTCCATTTCACAGCACTGGGTGGAACTGATGTCTATTTAGTGCATCACAGTTTCCATCTCCAGTGCTGGGCACAGCACCTATAGGTTTCTGTGTTGACTGAGGAATGAAGCTGAGGAACAAATGAGGAAACTGAGTCTGGGAGAGAAGATGTGATTTCCCCAAGGCCAAAAGTCTAGTACATGGTCCCAAAGCAAGAACCACCTCTGACTGCATCATGACAAATAGAGATCTGGGGGCCGTGAGGGAGAAGATGTGGGGAGAGAAAGTAGAGGGTTGAGACTGGTGGGGTGTTTGCATTGAGGTGGATGAGGAAAAGGGAAGGCAGCAGAGGAGACAATCTAAGTCTCATGAGAAGGTTTGAGTAGGTTTTGTTTCCTTTTTTTTGAACTTGAACAAAGGCCATTGATCTGAACAGAAGATATGTAAGAAAAGAAAGAATAAGAAAAAAGTGGACCATGAATGAAGCCAAATAAACAAATGATTTTGAGAAGATCAAAAATAAAAAGGGCAGGGTGTGGGCAGGAAAGGTAGTGAAAGGACAATCACTACCCTATTGTGTCTGGTCACTACTCGGTTAAATAAGGAGAAATGTGGTATCAAAGCCAGACTGGAATTCTGTCTTTCTTTCAAGGCTCTAATTGTAAATATGGAAAAATTAGAGGAAAAATGCATTTACACCACATTTATTTAATGTTTTTCCATTTGTGCTGCCACAGACTGAGAGAAGAAAAGTAAATAAGTCCCAGGCACAGTATTTGCACAAACAAGAGTGAAAATAAAATCTGTTTAACTGAACTAAAATGACAGTTACCACATACAAAATAAACTCTCGTATGAAAGCTAACAATCTGGCATGAAAATGTCAAAATTCACAACTCTACTACCTAAATAACTGAGTTAACTAAGCCCTCAGCCTACCTCTCCCTAAGCACAAGTCAATTGTGCCTTGGAGCAGTCCATGAATTCTCACCCTTTTCATAAATCAACTTTGCAGCCCAGCTGTCCAAAGAGTATGTGTCAGTTTCTGCTTGCTGGCGTGCTTCCTTTTTCTCTGTCTGTCTCTCTCTCTCTCTCTCTCTCTCTCACACACACACACACACACACAGAATTGTGAGGGAGAGGAGAAAAGGGGAGAATAGCCAATTCCCTCACAAAAATGAACAAACAAAAAAGAATTCTGGTGATGTGCCTTTAGGATATCTTCTTTTATGTCAAGTTAAAAAGAAAACTATGTCTTGTTTCTGTTTTTTCTCTCCTTAAGAACTTAGTGTGTGCCAACGGAACGAGACTATCCTAGAAGAAACAGAAATACAAGGTTCTGGCGCAAGGTCACGGACAAGTTTCTCTTCATCATCAGGGCTGTGTTCTTCCCTCTGAGTTGCAGCAACTAAATGAATTCAGAGGCAAATCTTGTAAGCCGACTTTGTATTTCTTTTTCCTCACATCAAAGCTGCCATGAGGTGAACCAACACATCAATACCATTTTTCCACCTGCTTTGATTTTGTTGGTGACCGAGGATGGAGTGATGGAAATGACAACCCACCTTTTACATCACTGGCTGCTGCCTTAGCACTTGAAAGTCTTTTCCCTGCAATGGAGTCTGATTTATCAGTAAAGAAAAGGATAGTAGAGCACCCTCGACTACTGCATCACAGAGAGAAGGGGCATTTTGTTTTGCAGATAGAGGCATATTCAGGGGTGGGAAATTTATCGAAAAGGAGTTAAGATAGGGGCCTCTAGTTCAGACATACCCTCAATGAGCTGAGAACTAGCGTACTTGTAAATGCCAAAAAAGGGGCGAGGGTTCAGCTCAGAGACTCAAGTTT